CTGGGCCTCCCTCCGCCACCAATAAACATTTACATGATTGGAATTCTCTACTAGACTACAAGTTCCATGAAGAAGGAGACTATGCCTGTTCATTTATTAAGCATCTATGAGCTTACTATTTGGTGGCCTGTTAAAAAAACCTACATGCCAGCTATCGCTAACTGGAGGATAAATGAAACAATGGGTACGGTGGGTCTACCAAGTGTCCCTCACGTGGTAGCACAAAACCCATGTGAACACCACTCGTTGAGACTCAGTTTATCAAAATCCACACCATTCAAGCCAACAAAGTGCAATATAGACCACAATACTGGTTCGCGTCCAGGTGGATAAAATAAAATATCCTGTAATAACTGGTTCTGCTCTTATTTATAAATTCTCTTACAGAATGTTTCTTCCTACAGAAGGATGAATACCTACAACATTATTATGAATTCAAGTTTTCATGCAGGGTTTGTAGTCGATCACCGGTCAAGCAGCTGACAAGAATTTGTTGAGAATTAATGATCCACAAGCCCCCGTGGTCAGTCTTAGGTGAGTGATGGGGTTGTATGAGCCAAGGGCTCTGCCAACCTTAGGTGATAAAATCCTTGATGGAGGGAGAGTATGTGCTCAGTTGACTAGACAATTAGGTATACACTGAAGTCAGTAACGGCTATGGGTTGAATTGTGCCGTCTCCCAATTCACATGTTGAAGTCCTAACCCCCAGGACTTCAGAACGTGACCTTACTCGGGTACAGGGTCACTGCCAGTATACTTAGTTATGATGAGGTCATACCGGAGTACAGTGGCTCCTTCCTCCAATACGACTGATGTTCTTTATAAAGCAGGGAGATGCAAACACAAAGACAAGCACACAAGGAGAATGCCGAATGAAGAGACGAGAGAAGAGAGCCACCTACGACCCAAGGAGAGCAGCCTCCAGGACTGTGAGATAGTAAGTATCTGTCCTTTAGGTCACTTTGTGGTCCCTTGTTATGGCGGCCCTAGCAAATTAATACAGTGCTAAACACTAAATTCTCAGGGATCAGGGTTTCTCGACCTGGGCGCTCTGGACATTTGGGGCTGCATAACTCCCTGTGGTGGGGGTCCAGCCTGCACAATGGAGGGTGTCCAAGTATCGCCAGCCTCTATCCACGTCAGGGATACACCATTCAACACACACACACACACACACACACACACACACACACCTTTTCACTGGAACCCGTACTATATCGGCTGTTTTCAAAGAAGAAACAAGTTCTAGAAATTCTAAGGAAAGAGAAAAAAAATGTCTAGCCAAGTATCCACTAACAACTTTCCCAAATGCAAATAAAGCACAGGACTTTCAAAATTATGGAACCTTACAATCTACAAATGAAACCTAAGAGCAAAATCCCTCTCCTTTACCTCCAGATGAAAAGGACAACGCAGGAAGGTAGAGCTTTCATTGGAGTCTTTATCAAATGATGACGAAAGTCCATTGGGACGACCCATCGAAATGGGCATCACACAAATGAATGCCTGGAGCCAGCCTTGGGAGTCACAGATGCAAAACAATGGCTTGGACCTTCACCGTCAGCTAACTTGAAGTGGGGCTATGCCAAAGTTGAAGGGCAAGGAAAGGTCAACTCTTCTCGGTTTCTGTATTTTTATAGGTATAACTAGAGAAAAGAAGCAAGAGCCCCAACATTGTATGCTGGGACGGAAAAAAATGGAATTACTGCATTGCAACTCCTTGAAAACTCTGTAATACATTCTCTTAAATTCTCTTCTATGTTCTATGGTTCACGAATCAAACTTTTTAATCCAGACTTGAGGATTGAGAACCTTCTTAAAATTCAATTAAAATGATACAAGCAGATCCACATTATGACATGCTCCACTTAGAGACATGCATTTGGCAGGAAGACTTTTTTCTTTTTATCTTAAAACTGAGTGCAGGAAATGCTGGTTTAATTTCTCTTTGCTTCAATATTTTATGAGTGCCTCCCAATGCCTAGTGTCTGACAGCACCAGACTACTGACACGGTGCTATTTCAGATGACATGGAAGATTTTATTTGCATGAATCCTACGTGTTGGAATTTTTATGCCCTTTTTTTTTCTTTTGTGTCCTGAAAGAGAGTTGTAATGTACAAAGGTATATTCCAATTCTTTACATAGGCACGTGTATATATACTGATACCTAATATGAATAAAAGTGACCCCCAAAGTTTAAGATTAGTGCGAGAAATAACTGTTCTTCATAATCACTGCAGAATTCCCATCTTCAAATAATGGACCTTTTTTTTTTTTTTAAGGAATTTTTTTTTTTAAACATTGTATTTTTGTTTCTTTGTCAGACACAGAGAGACCAGGGCGGGGGGGGGGGGGGGACACGCACGAGCACAAGCAGGGGGAGCTGCAGAGAGAGGGAGAAGCAGGCTTCCCGCTGAGCAGGGAGTCCGATGCAGGGCTCCGAAGGCGGATGCTTAACCAACTGAGCCACCCAGGTGCCCCCAAATAATGGACTTTTACTAACACAAGAGCAAACACACTTTCCAAAAGGAGACACCTGCGTCCTTACATAGCCAAGTAAGTTTAGCACCTCTACCATCTTCTCAAGGAAAGCACTCTCACATTTCTCCATGCTTTCTATTTCCACATCATCACAAATCTATTTCTGTACGAGATGCTAAAACCACAGAAAAAGACACAGAACACATTCAGTTGTTCAGACCAAACTAATAATCAACAGAAAATACCTTTCCTTGGTTTTGGTCTTTCACTATGCTATTACTTTCCTCAAAAATTAATGTCCATGTTGTACTTGGGTTTTAAATAAAAAGCACATATGTTCATAAATAGGTGATAACTGAGATATCACAAGACACCCCAAACGTCAATATATTCTTATGATCTTTCTATTCTAACTTAAGTGGCGTGTTTTAGGAGAAACATGCAGTGCTAGCAGGTTACCTGTTTAAATGCTCATAAGCACATTTTGTGAAATGATGGTAAATAAATGCTCATAAACATATTTTGTTGAGTGGCTGTAAATGTGCTTTGGTGTACTAGGTGCTGTTTATATGCTCCTATTTCTGTAATTAGAAGATAAAATATACTGTACTGTTAACTGTCAGGCCCTCTGGTGACCATATCGACGGCCGCTAACCCACGGGCTTGATCAGACAAGTGCGTAGGGCTCATAATTGAAGAGTTTCATTTTCATCACAAAAGCCTAGAGCATGACAGTATGTCCTCATAAATTTGAAGACATGCTGTAAATCATTAGTAACTCCTTTATGATAGCCCACAAATAATGAGCAGAACTTGGCTACCCAGTTTAAATATCAAGTCTGAAGGTTGCTGAATACTGAACATCAATCATTGTGGTGTTTTAACGATCGGTCATTAAAAGGCAGTGTTAATCCAGTCAAAGGAACATTTTGAGGGGTAAGGAAAAGACCGCCGTCCACTACGTTCATGTTTTGGAAAACAAAAAAAACACCTATGTCCACTCATCTTAAACATTCTGCCGGCCACCAAAAAGGGGTAGAAATGATCATCTCTGTTTCTGAGACAGACCGCCACGTCAGTTTCCGAAGAATATCGGAGGCACAGTTCCCACACGCGTTGCCTTTGCTCTCATCATGTGTGGAGGTGTGCTTTCGGCTAGGGCTGCTAGAAAACCAGTCGGCGTCCGTCTCCCCTTGTCCCCAGCACCTACATCCTCGGGCTTAATTTCCTCTCCAAGTTCACAGATGGGTTTGCACCAACAGTCCTCGGACGCTTACAAGTGACAGATGCCGCCCAGGTGAGGCTTTTGTTCCCCAATTGACATTCAGAAGCAGGATTCACTCAGCTCGCCAATTTCTCTCAGCATCTCAAGAAAGAGCCCGACCACATCACAGGTGTGGTCCCTTAATCCCAGCGTCACAGAATAAACTCTGAGCTCCCAGTAAACACAAGCACCCATTAGCGCGCTGAGGAAAAGTGATAGGAACCGTTTGTTGAGAGGGGTCGGTGTGCCCCGAGTGGTAACACTCTCACTCACGTGATTCATTTTTTTGTTTGCTCAACAGCGCGGTGTGTGTTTTTCCTGAGAGGAAGGGCTTCGATATATATTTACTCAAAGCTCTTAATTTATACTTCCTTTCCTTTTAATTGGCGTCTTGTGATCTAAAATTAACCAGCGAGGGCGGTATCTCCCTATTAGAGCAAACTCTCGGCTGAGTTTGCCGTAATTAGACCCACCATTGCCTGAAGTTCGACAGACATCTGGACACCTGACTTATTTCTTCCCTGGTGCATTCTATCCATATTTAGAGAGTGAGATTTTTTAATCTGACATATAGTCATATTAATTATCATTCCCCGTGCTGGAGTTAGGTTAATAATTTCATGTTAAAAGTGAAGTTCAAAGAGTCTCACCTGTGACGTTACCAAAGAAAAAGCCTACACGAAAAGGAATTCCTTGCCAAAACCCGAGATGGTCAGAGCACTCTAGCTCACCAATAAGCCAGATAGCATTCACACAAGAAATACAAGGTCACATTTCCTCTAAAATCCCACATTTGCTATAGGCATTCCTCCCTCTGTCCTTCTGTTTGTGCGAGTAACTGGATACAGGTACAGTTCCGGTGAAATTAGCTTTCCTGAATGAGTGAAGAAAATAAATGCCCCCAAAATGCCCAAAGTCAGATTTTTATCTGCTATCCCTTCTTTCCTTCTCCTCCCCGCCCCCTGCCTGCTCTCTCCCTCTCTCCCTCTCCCCTGCAGGGACTGAAAATGACCCAGATTTTTCAAATTCACCCTCACCCCGACAACGCTAACATTACAAGCAGCAGTCAACTTTTACAAGATACCCTGATTGTGCGACATTCGCAGGCTGCCAAAAAAACGTGCTAAAACTAATCAGATAACAAAGGTGAAGAGAAAACCTTCACCTGCCGTGCAGCTAGCAGTGAATACACTTTTTATTTCCATGACATTTGCTGGCAGAAAGGGGTTGGCTTAAGGCGGATCGGACTAACCTTCAATTTGTCATAGCGCTCACTCAAAGCTGCCACCTGATGATCTCGGTGCCGCCCAACCAGTTTACACAAGGCACAGATTAACTGGTCATCGGTCACACAGTACATATTCACCTTCTCATCCTCGTGCTCCAGGCACATCAGCCCCCGGATATGTGAGTCCGGAATTGGCTCAATCAGACGATGGCCCGTAAAGGGCTTCTTGTTCGGGTGAGTGGCTTTCAGGCACTCATCACAGTAGGACACTTCACAAGTGACACAGGTCTTCACAGCGTCCTGGGCAGGATCCTGGTCACAGAACTGGCAGAGCACTTTCTCGGCGGAGGTCATGGTGTTGGCGTCGAATGCCCGCTCCCGGCGGGTCTCGCTGGGGGAGTTGGGCCCGCTTACGGAGGCTTTCTGGAACCTGTCGATGATGTTCTGCAGGGTGACGTTGCGCTTAAGTCCGTCTAGACCTCGCTGGCTGAGCGTGATGACATGTCGGCAGGTGGGGCACTGGAAGGCGGTGATGGACTCCACAGACTCGTTGGTGGCGCAGTGTGACACCAGGATGCGGTGGGCGCAGCTGAAGCAGAGGCTGTGTGCACAGGGCAGTAGGAGAGGGTCCTCAAAGAGCTCCAGACAAATAGGGCAGGTCAGCTCCGACTCCAGTGTTTCCATCTTCAGGCAAAGCTCTCCTGGGTCATCAGCAAAATCCAAGGAAGCTGATCAGCTATCTGGAAACAAAACGTAAGATTTGATTAGGCGCGAGGGGGTCAGCCATGGGGAGCTGTCAGCTTTGAATGCATCTCAGAATAATTCCGAACACGGGTCACGGAAGGGTAAATGTGTGTACGTTCCAAATAATTCTCTTTCTATTCGCTGGGGGAGTGAGGCGGGGAGAAACACCCTAAGCCAGCGTACCAACTAACATTTTCTCAAAATTCCTGTCACCAAAAGCAGCAAAAAGCAAAACAAAACAAAACAAAAACCCTCTTTTTTTTCGCAATTTGGTTTGTTGAAAGGTCTTACTCCAGACTGGCAAGTTATTGAAACTGTAATTTCCATAATTTGTATCTAATCACAATAATCTCATTGTGTCACGGCCAAGTTTTACCTTGTGTGGAGAATTAAGATGTAGAAATGTTAATTAACGAACTAGAGCCTTTCATGACTTTGAATTGATGAACTTGCATGTGAATAAGTTTATGCGTCTGAAGGACTTTTTACTCTACGATACCACAGCAGGCTTCAGAGAAGTAGAAAGGCGCTTCTTGTGGAAATGGGCATGAAATGTGCATGAAATCCAACGCATGACTTCAGCGGAAATGATAATGCTTAAATAGGGGATGTCAGCTTCCAAAATATATTCTTGCGGAAAAACACTGACTTTCACGGAGATGATTGTGATCGAGGCAATGTTTTTTGGCATGCCTTCGTTACTCTCCTGAATAATTCTATTGTTTAATCCTGCAGTGGGATGTGGGTGGGCAGAGCGAAGCAGAGAAAAATATCTGCGGGCCTTTTAGTGGCTGTGGTGAGCCTGAGTACCAATGACTAATAACGATTTAGTTAATTAGGACAAGGATTTTCGTGGCTTCGATATTCATTCGAGAAGTTATTAACCGGGCTCACGGCTGCACTGTAGGCAGCAGGATAAATAAAGTAGTCACGTTACTCTGGGGAGGCTTGAAAGGGCTGCTGAGGGACCCCGTGCAGCCCTCCTGGCCCAAAGAGTTCCATCAAAGGCTTGTCCCTATAGCCAGCGACAGGCCGGGCCGGCAGGAGGTCCACCCTCACACCCAGAGCTCTGTTGGCCCCGGGCTTGAGCTCCGCCAGCTTTGAGCTCCCCACCAGGCTGCCTTCGGGTGGCCCAGCTGCACGCTCCCCGTGCCATGAAGATGGGCTGCTGCTTTTGTGAACCCTTGCCTGCCTCCCCTTCAAAAAGGGCAGGAGAAAAGAATCACACACAAACCCCGCTTCATTAACGGGGAAGAGGCCTCCGCTCATTAGCAGTCCTGGGAACCAAGCCTCTTTGAACCTTTTCCTTCTCAAGACCATTAGCCGAGGTCCGCGGAACTGTGGGCGTATTAGATGCAGCCCAGCGCCGCCTGTGGGAGAACAGTGCAGCTTACCCAGGGGAACGCCAGGCTCCAATCACTCTTGGGGGGTCAGGGGGGTTGGGGGGGTTCATGGGCCTGCTTGATGGGAAGGCTTCACATCCACAGCTACCATTCAGTGATTCCGACAATCGGCCTTTTTGTAGTCGCACCCCCATTTATTTACCAAACTTGCGATTTCCAGAACGTGTTGCCCCTTTCTGAAATAGCATCCCCCAGAAATACCACGTGGGGCTTTGGTTAAGCTAACGCTCATCTTGCCATCAACTGAACGAACGGGAACTGATCATTAAAAGTGTCAAGAGCGTGCTGAGTTTGTTAAAAATTAAAGAGCTGCTGGCTTCATAGAAGCCTGGTATCTTAAAGAGATCTTCAGCCACTCGCGAATATTAACTACACGAGAGAGAAGAAACAGGTAGCTGAGATTTGAAATATGAAAGCTTGGTCACGTCTTCACAACCCGCAGCGGCAACCGCCGGGCTGCTGTGGCATGAGACCTGCCATCCCCGCTTGGTCCTCCCCACCCCTTCCACGACATGGCTTGGATGAAATTGAAAAGGTCTACCTATTAATCATTATTTTGGTTAATTGTGAAAAAACGGAATTATCACTAAATTGAGTTTCTTCTCTCTTCCCATTGGAAGGAAGGGAAGAGAAGAACTTTAAGGAAGAACTTAAATTAAAGGGAAGCCGTCGCCTTTTGGGTCTGCTTTGTTCTCAGGTGCACCAAGAACGCCTCCCAATAGATCCCCACATGGGGATGAGCCCCAAAGGTGTCCGGAGAGCTAGGAGGACTGTATTTTTCCGCAGGTGTCAGGATCCCATCCCAGTGTGGTGCAATCACAATTTCTAGAGGTGATTCCCCTGCTGACCCCACTGGAAACGCTGACCTCTGAGTCAAGAGACATTAAGTGAGCTGGCTCGAGAAGCCGGAATCTGGCACTCTCGCCATCCCGGCTCTATGATAGTGGGCCAGCCAACATCACGCCTCTCCTGGGTTATCACAACACCTTTCCGAATGGCTTCCTGCCTTCTGCTCACTCTGGCCCCCACCCGCAATCTTTTCCTCTGAAGCCGAAGATCCTGTTAAAACATGACCGAGCCTGCCTCTTCTCTGCTCTCCCCTCCAGGGGCTTCCCATCTCACTCAGGGAGCAAGTCAGCAGAATAAAACCAGCCCCAGAAAACAGACTCAGACAGTGACCTCATTTCCACCCACGCTAGCCCTTGCTCTGCTCGGGGCACACAGCCTCCTTGTGATGCCTGGAACATGCCAAGCACGTCCCATCTCCCCCTCCCAAGGTTTTTGGAATGCATGTGACTCTCTGCAGCAGTGTTACCTCCTTGTGAACCCACATAAAACCGATTCCCCTGTTACCAAGATGGCCACCTACCCCCCACCATGGCGGAGATCCTTCTCCCCCACCCCTCCCCTCCTCTCTTTGCCTTCCTCCATAACTTTTGTCATCCAACATATTCTAGTGGTTTGGCCACGGAGCCATCATCACTCCCTGCCGCCCCACCAGTAGAAGGTAAGCTCCATGAGAGCAGAGACTTGGCTTGGCTCTTTGAGGGATGTCCTGCCAGCCCCTGGAACAGCGCCCTGCACACAGTGGGACTCCAACATGGGTTGAATGACTGGGGAAAAGCACAGCCATCGGGGTTAAAAACCTTAACGTATACAACACCCCTGCTGTCTCAAAGGATGTCTCAACATGTTGGAGCAGAGGTCAGCCAACTTTTTGTAGAGAGGGCCAGACAGTAACTATTTCTGGCACCGCGGGCCAGAAGGTCCCTGTTGCGGCCGCTCCAATCAGCATTGTAGTACGCCAAAGCCAGCACACACTACACACCGAGGGGAGAGTGCGGCTGGTCAATACAATCGGATTTCTAAGAACAGGCGGCAAGCTCCATTTGGGGCGAGGATCTTATTTTGCCGACCCATGGGGTAGAAGATAGAGACATGTACAGCCAGACAACAGAGAGGGGAGACTCCCTCCCAAAGAGATAGGACGAAAACGCCATGCGGGCAACAAGGGAATGGTGGTAGAGGGAGACGTCGCCAAGCGGGTGCAAGTTTCGAACGCTAATGGGAAGTGATAGGCAATGGGATTTCACCCTGACATCAATGGAAATAATGTTGAGTCGAGTGCTCAGGGGCACTTCATGTAAGAATGATTTAATAGCAGCTGCTCAGAACAGGATCGTTTGCTTTTACCACCATAGTGCTTGGCACGGAGCTTTGTGCAAGCGTCGACGCTGTAAATGTTGGTTTAATTGTATTAAGTGATGACTAAATGTGGATGCGCCATGACGTTGAGCCAATTTTCGGAATCTTGTGCTCATATGCTGCCAAAAGGGAGGGGGCTCTGGGTTCGATACCAATAGTAGATCTGATTGTTTTTTCTCCTTTGATGCAGATCTTGCTGTGGTACAAGTACTTTTTGGTGACATTAGTCGACAATATGTTGCCAGCAAGCACGCACGCCATTCCCCAACCCAAGAAGATCAGCATGGTTTGTTTTTTAGCTTCTTGAGAAGTGAAAATACCGTTCATTCTTTCGCCAAATATTGAAGCCCCTCTAGGTTCTTGGTGCTGGGACAAGTAATGGTAACACTCAGCCCCTGCCTCGGTGATCTTACGGGCAGAGAAAACATGAACGAACTGCTGTGCAACGTAACAAAAGTCACGTGCCAAAGACTGGGGGAGAAGAACATGGAAAGCTTCCCGAAGAAGGCAACACAGGAGAAGGATTTTTGAAGACGAACGGGCGTTCACCAGACAGGTACAAGTAGTGAGGGGGGCAGTTTGTGGAAAATGTTACTTTTCCTTTTCTTAACTCCCATAACTTAATGTCTAGGCCTCAAAAAATAGATTCTTCGCCTTCGCTACAATGGAAGGAAATCACACGTGCATATCATTATCAGGAAATTCTATCGCTCAACATTTTTCTGAATGGGCTGATTGGTCCTCATGGAGAAGAGGACGAGGGTGATCATGGAAACCCCTTGCAACAAACTGGGAACGGGGACAATTTACAGCTCACACCTCTGCCGGCCCACGGTTTGTAGTCTAGAACAGGGCATGAAATAGAGGGAAGGGAGAAAGCCGGATGGCTGGGCAGACAGTCAGAGGATGACACGCAGCTCGGCTATTTATCAGCTGCGTGGCCCTGGGACAGCGTCCACAAGGATTCCCTCCAGTTCCTTCCAGCACTCAGTCAGAACAATCTGTAAGCGGGACAGTCCCTAGTCGCGGGCTGCACTCGAGCCCCGCCTCCTGGGAGGCACTGGTTGCAAGACATCTTTTCCAGAAACGTTCTTACAAAGACATCTTACAAATGTCCTCATACCTCTGCCTTCCTCCTGTCTCACCCTCTCTCGTTCTGGATGTCACTAAAACTGTGCTCTTCTGGTTTTCGTCTCCCTAAGCCCTGCTGACTTCTCCTTCCAGCAAAGCAGAGCCTGGGTGTTTTCTACGGGTCTGGCCCTCCATCCACAGGCCATCCAAGAGGGTCAAAAGGTACAGACGTCCAGTTGTAAAAGAAAGAAATCCTGGGGATGTAATCTACAGCACAATGGCTGTAGTTAATAATACGTTGTATACAAATAGGGAAT